TAACTCATGTGTATGTGAATGCTGGACAATGTGAAAGGAAAATGAAAGATGAATTGAGACATTTCCCTTAGAGCAAATTAGAAGCAAGGAAGGTGAGAGTTAATCCCGCTTGCCTTGGCTGTGTTAGCCACCATCACCACCCACTGCCGCCAAGTTAATTCTGACTCCTAATGACCCTATAGAGGTGCCCCAAAGGGTTTCTGAGGCTGTAAATCTTTGAGAGCAGACGGCTCTGCCTTTCTCCATCGGACATGCTGCTATTTTTCATTGCTGTTGAGTCGGAACCAACTCACAGCTGAGCCTTCAGCAGATTTTCAGAGGCTGTAAATCACACAGGAGGAGACTGCCCGTCTTTCTCTCATGGAGCAGCTGGTGGATTCGAACCATGTGTCTTTGGGTTGACAGCACAACTCCTTACCCATTAGACAATGTTGTTGTTGTGCACTGTAGAGTTGGAAACAACCCGTAGCTGACCCTCCAGCGGGTTTTCAGAGGCAGGTAATCTCATGGGAGGAGACTGCCCATCCTTCTCCTGTAGAGCAGCTGGCGCCCTCGAACTGGGTGCCTTTGGAATTGCAGTGCAGCTTCTTGCTACCAGGACACCAGAGTAGTGGATTTGAATTGGTGACCTGTGAGTTAGTGGTTCACCACTTACCCCACTGTGTTACCAGGGCTCCTTGGACATGTTCTCAGGAGAGATCAACCATGCATGCTAAAGCAGAGAGGGTCCGCAAAAGAGGAAGGCCTTCCAAGAGATGGATTAATGCAGTGGCCACAGCACTGAGCTCGGAGCGAGCAAAGATGGGGAGAGTGGCACAAGACAGACAGTATTTCATTCTGTTTGCAAAGGTTGCTGTGAGTCACAAACGATCTCTTGACCTACTTGGATTACATGTGCATGCATTTTTATCAAGAAAATATCTCAAAATTCAAAACAAGATAAACAGAGCTGTTGGTCGTGTTTATGGACTCTGTTGTCCTCCCGCTGAAGGAGGGGCTCGTTTCCACGCCGCAAAATGTGATCTTGGCACCATTACGCGGTTAGTCTTTTTGGAGCTTTATTCCAGCTCTCTCCTGCGCACCCCCTCTGACCTCCTCAAAAGGTTCGTCCAAAGCAATGATTGCTCGCCTCCCGCTGCTTAGCCCACAACATGGTGACACAGTTGACGACTTTTGTTTTGCTTTAGTCCCCGCAGCTTTCAAATTGTCACGAAAACACACAGATGCCGGTAATTTCCAAGTGAATCGTGAAGCAACTGAAGAAAGCGCGCGGCGCACCAGCATGGGGCACAAAACAGATTCGCAGGAGGCGCGCCGACTAGCAGTTTGTTCAAACAGCATAAATAGAGCGGAACAGCCAATTTTATAATTAGCTGGGAATTGGTCTCCAGTTAAGCGTCTGCTCTGTGGAAATGGCCAAGCTGTTGCCTGGAGAGAGAGGCCTGCGTGCCCTGCTTCCCCTCCTCAGGGCTTTGGAGGACTTGAGGTTTCTTTGTTTCATTCCGTCTGACTCTGCTGGACGCAGCGTGGATTGCTTGGAGCTCGGATGTGAACTGTAGGTGGACAGGATACCTGGGAGAAAGGAGACACAAGCCAGGGTCTGTAGCAAAGGACTGGCGGGACAGCCTCAGTGCAAAAGGAACACAGACCATTGGTGCAAATTACTAAGAATTTCACGATGGTGACAGCAGCACTAAGCTAAGGGCTGGCCTTTCTGGTGGCAGGGCCCTTGCGATGCAGTGTGAATGCACAGTGGCTAGCTGGGAGCTCTGGTGGCCTAGGGGTAAGGAGCTGTGCTGCCAACACAAAGGCACTAGGTTTGAATCCCGCAGCTGCTCTGTGGGAGGATGATGGGCAATCTCCCCTGTGATTTACTGCCTTTGAAAACCTGCTGGTGGGTCAGCTATGGGATGGTTCTGACTCAACAGTACATAACAACAAGTCATAAGTGCGAGTGGCTCAAATCCACAGGCCTGTGGGGGGGGGGGGGAAGATGAGGTCTGTAAATATTTACAGCCTAGAGGACCCTGTCAGGCAGTTCCACTCTGTCATATGCGATTCCTATGAGTCAGTATGGACTCGATAGCAACAGGTATAGCTTTCCTTGATTTGGGTGGAACTTACGTGGAGAAACAGTGCGCTTGCTGGTAACCAAGAGGTTGCTACCCAAAGGCTCCCCGCGAAGGAAAGTTCTGGTGATTCGCTGCTGAATAATCAGTCATTGGAAACCTTATGAAGCACGGTTTCACTCTGTCTTGAGCCAGAATTCATTCAACAGCAACACATTGGCCAGCCCCTTCCCACCCCCACCTCACGGCTTCCCAGTATATGTATGTGCCTGAAACCACCTCCCTCGGTCTCTGTGTCTCTTGGTCAACCAGCTTGAGAGCCTCTGGTCGGCTCATCTGATAATCTGGCACCTCGATGGTCTGGTACTTTGGCCTGTTCAACTCCAGCGAAGGGAGGGGAGGGGAGAGGTGCTCTCTTGTTATAAACAGGAGCAATCAGGGCATGGAAGTCAGATTCACAAATAAAGAAGGACAGATGGGTATGAGTTGATTTTTGGTGAAAATTTGGTGTGATCAGGTGCTGTGTTGTAACTTCCTCACACGTCCTAGAGTTTAAGGCCCTCTTCTTAGTGTCTGTTCGGCCATTGTTGTGTGTCATCCAGTCACTTCCTACTTACAGTGTGACTCAAAGGGCAGAGTAGAACTGACACGTAGCGTTTCCTTGGCTGTAATCTTTATGGGAGCAGACTGCCCGGCCTTTTCTCCTGCAGACCTGCTAGTGGTGGCCAACGCAGGGTAGCCACAGAGCACTTAACCCGCTTTACCACCAGAGTTCTTCACAGATGTTGAATGCTGGTCTTCAAGGTTGCCTGAGAGCGTACTAAATAAAGCGAGATGGCCTTTTCTCGGGGCTCTGCCTTGTCGTCTGTTTCCACAAGACTCTGCAGAGGCAACAGGTCACTTTGCTGATATTAAGGCCTGAGATTACCAACAAAAGCATGATCTGCATGTTGGATGGAGCAAGGCTCTCCTTACACAGGGATGAGGTAGAGCAAGATCAGCTGAAATAGTGGGGGTTCGTGAGAGTGTGGAAATTATCAAACAATATCATTGATTTCACATGCAAGCAAGATTCTGCTGAAGATCATCCAAAAACGACTGGAGCAGCACATCAGCAGAGAACTGCCTGAAGTGCAGGCTGGGTTTAGAAGAGGCCGTGGTACTGGGGATATTATAGCTAATGTCAGGTGGATCTTGGCTGAAAGCAGAGAGTACCTGAGGAATGTCTATCTGTGTTTCATTGACTATGAAAAGGCATTTGACTGTGTGGATCACAATAAACTGTGTCTGACTCTGAGAAGAATGGGAATCCAGAACACTTAATTGTGCTCATGCGAAACCCATACTTAGACCAGGAGGCATTTGTCAGAACAGAGTAAAGAAACACAGCATGGTTCAAAATTAGAAAGAGTGTATGCCAAGGATGTGTCCCATCTCCGTATTTTTTCAATATATATGCAGAACAGATTATCCAGGAGGCTGGGCTCTATGAGGAGAAAGGTGGTATCAGTTTTGGAGGAAAACTCATCAACAATCTGCATCATGCAGATGACACAACCCTGCTTACTGAAACTGTGGAGGACCTGAAGCGCTTGCTGCAGAAGGTCAAGGACTGCAGCCTTCAATACGGATTGAAGCTCAACATCAAGAAAACAAAGATTCTCACCACTGGGTTGATTGGCAGCATCATAATAGATGGTGAAAAGATTGAGATAGTTAACAGCTTCAGTTTGCTTGACTCTACAGTAAACACTCTCTGTACCAGCAGCCAGGAAATTAAAAGATGAATGGCATTGGGAAAGTCTGCTGTCAGAGACATCTGCAAAGTACTGAAGAGCAACGATGTTAGTCTGGAGACTAAAGTGCACCTGATCCAGGCCATGATCTTTGCAATTACTTCCTATGCACCAAAGAGCTGGACAATGACTAGGAATGATAGGAGAATTAATGCCTTTGAACTGTGGTGCTGGAGAAGAGTGCTGAATATACCATAGACTTCTGGGAGAACAAACAAATTTGTCATGGAGAGAGTGAAGCCAGGCTTGTGCTTGGAGGGAAGGGTTCTAAAGCTTCATCTGACATACTTTGGACATGTTGCAAGGTGGCATCAGTCCTTAGAGAGGGATGTCATGCTTGAGAGGGTAGAGGGACAGCACAAGAGAGGAAGACCCTGGATAAGATGGATTGGTTCAGTGACTGGGGTAGTGGGGGTAGGTGTGTCTGAGACAATAAGATTGGCACGGGTTAGAGCAGGGTTTAGGGTTGTTGTACATAGGGTCACTATGAGTCACAGGTGACTTGACAGCACATACAACAACATCACCCAGGGCCAGCTCAAAGACCTTGTTCCCTCTCTGTTGGGTGCAGAAGTCAGGACATAGGCAGGTGCCATATGACATGAATGTATGTACAAAGCAGAGAAGGCTTTCTGTGTACTCAGGACAGGAAGGCTCCGAGGTAAGGAGAATGAATGAACTGCAGAGAGGGAAAGTGTTCAGCTCCCAGCCTCCATGATGGGAGAATTAGCCAAGGTCAAGGCTTTTGATTGGGTGGCCTGAGTGAGACGGCAGGGGCCATCATCGGTTACCCTCCTGACAGAGGATACAGGTGTATGTCCTCATCTTTCAGAAACATGCTCAGTACCTTCTTGCATCTCCCAGAACTATCAAGCTTTACCCTTTTGTTGTTGCTGTTAAGTATTGTTGAGTTAGAACCAACTCAAAGACAGCAAATCACACAGAGGGAGATTGCCTGTTTTTCTCCCATGCAGCAGCTAGTGGATTTGAACCCCGAGCTTTTGGATTGGCAGCACAACCCCTTGCCACTAGGCCACCAGAGCTCCCTAGTTCTAGCTTGGGGAACAGCAAAGCACCAGGACAGGCCTCGTCCTGATCAGTCTCTGCCTGACCCCCTTCTCTCTCTTTGTTTCAGCTCCAACTCATCCTCAGGCCAAATGAATGGGCTTCCCCAGAAGATGCCCCCACAGCCGCCCCCTGCCCACTGCGCCCACTCCCGGCTGTCCTCAGCAGAAAGCTTATCCATGGACGGCTTCTGGATGGAGGTGGAACGGATCCAACAGCGGGACGAGCGGAAAGAAGACGATGGTGGTGGGGGTGAAGGCCGGCTCCCTGAGGGTGAGGAGCCCTGGCTGGGATGGTCAGGGCGGGCGGGAGGATCTTATTTCCAGGGGGAAGAACGTGAAAATGAAATAAGAGCAACATGGCAGATCTTCTTTCTGCCGTGCTGTTCTCCATGAATTGGAAATGAGGTGATCTCCTTCCTTTAACTAGTTCATTCGGAAAATATTTCTGGAGTGTGCCATTTCTGCCAGGCACTGTCTGAGGGGTACAGCAGTGAACACAAAGTCTCTTTTCTCATGGAACTTACATTCCAGTGGAATTCTAAATCTCCTGCTGCAAATTTTCAGATGTCTCTCTTTCTCTCTCAGAAAAACAGCTGTGCATCCCCACAACAATAAAGTACCCCAAAATTAGTGATATACAGTAGTAATGACATTTATTATTATTACATCTTACTGTTCTAGGGATTGGCTGGGCTTCCGTAGGCTCTTTAAAGCAGCGATGTAGTCTAGCCAGGTCTGGAGTATCTCTAAGAATCGTCTGAGCTGCCCTGCAGTTGGTGTGACTGCTGGCTGGCCCTCACACAGGACTGTTGGCTGGAACATTACGCGTGTCCTCTCTTTCCTCTCTTTGTGGTCTGGGCTTCCTTACAGTGTGGTGGCTGGGTTCCAAGAGCAAGGAGAGAGAGAGAGAGCGAGAGCGAGCCAGCGCCAGCCAGGCAGAATCTGAGAATCTGTGCCATGATTTGTGACTTCCTCCACCTTCTATTTCCCTCCGTCCAGCTTGATTTCAAGGGGAGGGGAATGGGGCTCCACCTCTTGATGTGAGGAGAGTTCAAGACTTGGTGGCCGTGTTGTAAATCTACCACATCACACCTTGCAGGGAGGGATAAGCTTTGGTCATGTTGTTCTTCTGCTTCAGGTCTGTCTTGCTCTCTCTCCATTCCCACCACCCTGACCTCCGTAAAGTCACGTCCCTATCCCCATTGCTGTGTCCTTACTGTCCCCAATGCCTGGAATGCTCTTCCCCAGGTATTTATATGGCTAGTGAAGGTCTCAAATTCCACCATCTCAGAGAAATCCTCACCGACCTCTCTGTATAGAACGGTGCCCACCCGCTGTCTCCTTCACTCTCTAGACTCCATCACTTGTCCTTTATTCACTGTTAGACAGCCCTTCTCACTGCCTCTCTCTGCACAGGGCATGTACTTATACATTTGTCTGTGTGTCCCACGAGCATGCAAGTTCCATGTGGCCGGGGTCTTCGTAAGTTCCTCCACTGTGCCGTTCTCAGCACCTAGGCTATACCTACAATATCCAAGCACTCCATTCTTACCTGTTCGGTGAATGAGAGAGTGAATCAGGTACCCACGGGGACATATTTCAGTTTGGCTCACAAGTGAGCTGGGCTAGGTCGTCACAATTACTTGCTATGCATCAGAGAGCTGGACAACGACTAAGAATGGTAGAAGGGTCATCGATGCCTTTGAGCTGTGGTGCTGGAGAAGAGTGTTGAATATACCACGGACTGCTAAGAGAACAAATGGGTCCATCCTAGAGAGGGTGAAACAAGGCTGCTCCTTGAAGGCAAGGATTTTGAAGCTCCAGCTCACACACTTTGGGCATGTTGCAAGGAGGGATAAGTCCTTGGAGAGGGATTGATACGATGATTTGAAGGGTGGATGGACAGCACAATAGAGGAAGACCCTGGATGAAACGGATTGATTCAGTGACTGAAGTGATGGGGTGAGTGTGTCAGAGACAATGAAATTGGCTCAAGACAGAGCAGGGTTCAGCCCAGTTGTACCTAGAGTGGCTATGAGTTGGAGTCAAATCAACAGCGCACAACAACACAGTTCAAGGTACACAAAAACACAGAATGAAAGACCCAAATCTCCTAAGAGCCTTTCAGTGTATTGCAATGTGTGCAAAACATACGTGAAAATCCCTGGGGACACAAGGGAGAGTTTGTGGAGCTGTGGCCATAAACCTAACTTCAGACAAGACAGAGGGAATGAGATCAGAGTGGGGAAAAGATGGAACCTGCTGGATAACTAACCGGACAGGAGCTGTTTCAGACTTACAGACGTAGAACCTTTGCCTGGAGGGAGACAAGGCATGTGAAGATGTTGTCATTGTTGTTATGTGCTATCGAGTCACCTGTAATTCATAGCTACACTGCGTACAATTACTCGGAACCCTGCCCTATCCTGAATCAACCTCATCGTCTCCAACAGATTCAATCCCACTTCCCCAGCCACTAAGTCATCCCATCTCATCCTGGGTCTTCCACTCCTGTGCTGTCCCTCCCTCCCTTCCAAGCACAATGTTCCTCTTCAAGGACTGGTCCTTCCTGGCCAGTATGCACAAATGTTAAAATGGCCATTATTTTTCCACTCACTTCTCCTTACGGCAAAGTACTGCTGGGTGCTCTACTTATAACTGGGAGGGTGTTTACTTTTAAAATAAATTTGTTTAAAAAAGAAAATAATTTTTGGGTCCCACCTGGGGTGCCAAACCCCCCCAAAAAACCCAAATACAACAACAAAAAAGAATACTTTTTTAAAGTAAAGTATATCCTGTGGCAAAGCAAAAATATTTAGTCAATGTTTGGAGGTAATTAGATCTAGATTTTATTTTTTTTTTAATGAAGGTGATGGTGGAACACATGAATGTCAAGTAATACTGGTTTGTTAAAAAGGCTCTACACGAATGGGCCTGTGGTTGAAGACAAAGAAGGAGTTGTTCTCAACTCAGGTCAGTCCAGAGCGGCTCGTGTATTACAGAGCAGACCTGGGCTCGATCTTCGGACGTCTGTGACCTTTCTGAAGTCACTGGGGCTTCCTTCTGCGTCTCCTCAGGGGAAGGTGTCCCCCTTTCACTTAGTGGTCCCATGCTTCCCCATTTTTGCCACCCACGGTGTTCTGACCCTGTGGTTACAGCGGGAAAGACCATCTTGGCATTGGGGTAGAATCAGTTCCTGCCCCAGCAGGCACAAATTCAGGCTGGACCCCAAGTTTATGACTGCCCTGGAGGTTTAGGTGCTTTTTTGGGATGAATTATTTTTCCCAAATGCAGGGAGGACACTGGGGAAAGATTAGTATGTTGTCTTATCTGCACTACCCAGACTTCCATTAATGCAAGTTTTGTTTTTAAGCCATGAAGACCTGGTTGATAACTTGGTCAGCACTTGGCACAACCAAACACACTGACCCGAGTGTCTCCTGGCTGCACCCCGACCCCAGCCTTTCACACCTGTGTGCAGCCCTGTGACGTCATTCAATTCGCTAAACACAGCAGGAGCACACCCAGCCTGCATTTCTCTCAGTGTAGTCTGGACAGTCTATTGAATTAGAGTAACTGAGACAGGACACTGAAAGAGTCTCAAGACCCTCAGCCCCATTCACATTCCAGAAGCAGGCGGGACCCCTTTACAGTTTGAACATGCCTCACGACTTAGGCTAATAGTTTTGCAATAGGACCACAGCAGTGCCCACCCATCTCAAGCTCAGTTAAAGGGACTATTCAACACAAAGAGGTCTTGAATAAGCAGAGTGGGACACCAGCCCTGGATTTAATTATTGATAATGCACACGGGGCCCTGAATGGCCGTGTGGTGGTCTCTGCCAGGTAAGGAGCGTAAGTTCATGACCACATCCTAGAATCAGAGTGTTGAGGGGACTTACTTAGCTTACCCTGTGTTTACAGAGGTTGACATGTTATGGGATTAAATCCAGATGTTGGCTAATACTCCTCCGGAAACTCTATGAGCTTTGATTAATGTTGATAGTTGTAGAGGGGCTTCAGGCCTTTTGTTCATAGGGTCGCTATGAGTCATGCTCAACTCGAAGGCAATCAACAACAACAATCTTCCCACTGAATAAGTCAGTTGATGTTGACAGTATTAAGGGTCTCACTCTCTAACAGACTGACACTCTTGTCTCTACGTGTGTCTAGAAGTGGCTTCAGTTGTGTGTGGAGCGGTGTATACTTAGCTGAGTGCTGTCCCTCTGTTGACAGATGGAGAAGCCGAATCCCAGTGGCTGCAGGACACAGGCCTGTGGGGTCTCCTTGGTGGCCTGGATGAGAATGGAGACCACCAGAGGCTCTTGTCCACCCTCACACAGACCCAGGTGGCTGCTGTGTGTCGTCGCCTGGACATCTATGCCCGCTCAGCCCGAAGACGACACAAAGCGCCTGTCAGAGATGTCAGGGACATCTTTGGAGTCTTCGACTCAGGGGTGAGTAGGTGGCAGGGGGAGGTCACGACCGTGTCTGCCTGGGGTCTCTGTGACGTCACCAGAGCCAGAGGTGTAGCGTTTCAGCTGCAGGACTGTGCTGGTGCACACAGGTCCATACGTGTGTGTGAGAGTGTGCACGAGTGTATATTGGGGGTGCATTTATTTGCACCCCTATCTTACATGTGGCTCTCTGCCTCTCTGTCATTTTGTATTCCTGGGCGGGTCTGAAAGCTCTAGTTCTCACCATATAATGATGAAACTAAAAACACCAGACCCTATTGCCATTGCAGTCACCCTAGAGTCAGATTGTTGAGGGGACTTACTCAGCTTGCCCTGTGTTTACAGAGGTTGAAATGTCATGGGATTAAATCCAGATGTTGGTTAATACCCAGCTTTAGGTCTTAGCTAACCTAAGGGGTTGATCCTGCACCACGACGCCCCCTGTGGTGCAGACTAGAACTGCACCGCAGAGGTTTATTTGCTTTTTCTTGTTTGGATGAAAGTTTTCAGAGTCAATGTGTTTCCCATTCACCAATTTACACACATTTGGTTTTTCGGCATCTGTTGCAATCACTCTCTATGACAGGACTCTTCCATTTCCTCCCTGGTTCCTCCTTTTTTCCCTGCTCCTCCCTACCTCTTGAGCTATGTTGTTGGGCAAATGCTGCCTTTTGAGACTCTTAGGGTTCACTGTTCTGAAACGGCACATTCTCATCCTCATCATGATGTGATGGTGGATGTTATGTGCTGTCAAGTTGCCTGTGATCCATGGCGACTCTATGTACAGCAGCTCTGAAGCCTGCCCTGTCCTGAGTCAGTCTCACTGATTCCGACACACCGACCCCCATCGCCCCAGTTACTGTGTCAGTCCATCTCATCTGGGGTCTTCTTCTGTGCCATCCCTCCACCCTTTTGAGCATGATGTCCTTCTCCAAGGATCAGTCCCTCCTGGCCACGTGCCCAAAGCATATGAGACGGAGCTTCAAAATCCTAGCCTTCAAAGACAGACTTAGTTTCACCCTCTCCAAGACAGGCCTGTTTGTTTTCTTGGCAGTCCATGGTATGTATGTTCAAGACTCTTCTCCAGTGCCGCAATTTGAAGCCATCAATTCTTCTGTCATCCTTAGTCATTGTCCAGCTCTCTAATGCATAGCAAATAATTGCGAAGACCATGGCCTGGATCGGGTGCACCTTAGTCTCTAGGCTGACATCATTATATAGACGGGGTCTATTGTCAGCTTGAACAGGGGTCCCTAACAGGGGGTTTAGTTCTAGGCTGAAAGGGCAGCCAAGACCCGTAGTCTTGGGTTATCCACCTGTTAGTCAAAGCCGTAAATCTGCTCTTTGTATGATTCTGGTTCTCTCTTTTCTGATTTTGAATTCTGATGTGTGCTTCCCTCCCACTCTGTCCAGGACCTCCTCTTGGGCCCGTGAGAGCAGATGGAAATAGCTGGGCACCATCTAGTTCTTCTGACCCCAGGCTGATGGAGGCTGTGATTTGCATGATCCACTGGTCCTTTGAATTGTCTCCTTGATTCTCTTTCCCTCCCCCACCTTGAGTCTTTTCTTGTCTTCACATTGCTTCACTCTGGAGAGGGAGAGACCAACAGTTGGCTTGTAGATGGCAAATCACAAGCTATTCAAAGCCAAGTTGTGCCTCACCAGAGTAGGATGTAGAACAGTCTCTGTGAGCTACGTTGTGCCATTCGACTCCTAGACTATGGTCCAAGCCTCTGAGTCCAGTTACTCCTTCTCCCAAGGTATTTGATTGACTATACTCTCATATGCTCTGCTATATTCACAGATATCTTTTTTAAAAAAAAATTATTATTTTGTGTGTGTACCATCAAATCAGATCTGACTGGTACAGGAGGAGATTGTCCCTCCTTCTCCAGCAGAGCATCTGATGGATCCAAACCACACACCTCTGGGATTGCAGTGGAGCTTCTTGCCACTAGGCCACGAGAGCTCCCTTATAGACACAGATATCTTTGTAGCACATGCAAATACTTGCATTAAAATATCTTTTCTCAAACCTCTACCTGCTCATGGATGCCCACAAGGTTGTCTTGACCATAATCTTTATCATAATCTTCACCACAGTCTTTATGGCAGCAGGCCACCAGCCACTGCTTCCACGGTAATACGGGGTGGTTCACCACCAGTGGTCAGGGTAGTAGAGGAGTTCCAACCTTTTGTCTCCCAAGGGCCTTCTCTGTAATTATTACTGGGGCCAGCATGATACTTTGTATTGTTGCTTGCATTTCCTGCTGGCAGTGGAACCTGACAGACTGTGAGTATCTCCTTTCTTGGACTAGATCTACAGTGATTAAATACCGAAGTTAAAGACCTGGGCTTCCTGCCCACACCACCACTTAGCAGTTAGAGGATCTTGGGCAAGTGACTTAATGTCTCAGAGCTTCAGCTGCTGATCTGATGGGGCTGTGGTGGGGCCTGGTCTTCCCGGCTGTCACATTAATCAGGCATTATCTGTAATTTACACAGGAAATCTCTTCAGAGACTGAGGAGTCGGAAATTAAATGGGCCCCGCTCAACTCCAGGCTCTGCAAGTCTCCTCCAGGTGAGTGGTTTCATTCTCCTGGACCCTCCCAACCCTCCTTTACTGCTGGAAGGCACAGCTTTGTGAAGCCAGGGAACAGGCTAAGCTAAGCATTTCCCTAATTCTGCTACACCTTCACCTTTTCCTGCCTGAAGGCAGCAGGAAGGTGCCCTGGGGAACATACTGAATTCCTGAATAGGCCTGGAAACTTCCTGGATGATAGAAGTCATAGTTGGGAAGTTGCATCCTGGGCAATAGATCTTAGCTGGGAAATCACTTCCTGGAGCAATAGACGTGATTCCTAATCCTAGTTATTGGAAATTTTGCTTATGAATTTAGGAAACTCATTTTTAGAGCAAATGTCCTGAGTCTTAAGCCCCAAAAACCTGCTTCCTGGGGTTGGGTACTGACTTCCTTAACTTCAGACAATTGCTACCAGGTATCTAGGTTATTAGCAAGGTATTAGCAAGGACCCAAGCCCAGGAACTTCCGTGAGCTGTGGAGCTGTGGGCTTTGGGCTTTGGGAGAGATGATGGTCCTAACTGCCTCCCTGCTCTGTTTCCCTGGCAGCAGCAGAGCCCGAGGGACCACAGGAGCGGACTGGAGAGGTAGAAACGTTCAGCATGGACTCGGCCTACTCGGAACAATTGGCAGTGCTCCTGCAAACGGGCAGACCACCCCCCAGAGGCACCTGTGCCCGGGCCAAAAGCTCCCTGCCGGTGAGAATGCTGCCCAGAAGCTTGGCAGCCAGCCCTGTCCTACCTCCCACAGCTTGCCATGCTGCGGGGCACCCAGTGTGATGGATGGTGGTTGAATCAGCCATCAATTCAATTCACACTCAGATGTTTACAGACTTATACAGTCTAGCAATAGGGTAGTATCGATATTTTCAATTATGGTAGTCTTTGCTTTTATGCTTAGAAATGTCTCCCTCCTTCAGCAAATGGATATCCATCTATTCCTAGTTGTTTTCAGCTGTTTTAATTCCTTTCTCTGTCTGGTATGAGAGACATAATTTCATGATATTTTTTCAAATGCTCCGTTGTCCCAGCCGCATTACTTCCAAATTAGGATGTTGTTGTTGTTGTTGTTGTTGTTATGTGCCATCGAGTGGACTCTGTCTCACAGCGACCCTCTGTACAACAGCTCTGAACTCTGCCCTATCCTGAGCCAACCTTATTGTTTCTAACACACCTACCCCCATTACCCCAGTGACTGATTCAATCCGTCTCATCCAGCACCTTCCTCTCTTGTGCTGCCCCTCCACCTTCCCAAGTATGATGTCCCTCTCCAAGTTCTGGTCCCTCCTGGCCACATGACCAAAGTATGTGAGTTAGAGCTTCAAAAATCCTTGCCTCCAAAGAGAAGCTCGATTTCACCCTTTCCAAGACAGACCTATTTGTTCTCCTGGAAGTCCATAGTATGTTCAATACTCTTCTTCAGCACCACAACTCAAAGGCATCAATTCTCCTTCTATCATCCTTAGTCACGTTCAGCTTTCTGATGCATAGCAAGTAACTGTGGAGACCATGGCCTGGATATCAGCATTTATATGGAGAGTTTCAAGACCGAGATAGCTCAGAATAGAGCATTTGGCTTGAAGAGTGTCCCTGTGTAACTGTCACCCAGGTGGGGACTAGGACATTCTTGTGTTCCCTTCTCTTTCCAAGTCAGGATCTCCCATCCCCCAGGGCGACTACTGTCTGACTTGGCTCATCACGTTTGGTCTTTTCACAGTGAATAAAGATAGAGTTTCTCCGGGAATCCAATGCTTACGTGGTCTGATAATCCCAGGGAATGTTTCCCTGGGTGTCTTCATGGCACGGCGTTTTTCCAGATGTTTCACCAGCATTGGCTTCAATTTCCTCATCTCCATTAGAAGAAGGGTTCATTCTTACAGCCACACTTAGAGTTGAAAAATTAAAGGTCTCAGAGAGAAGTGCCTTGGACAGGAGTAGATCTGACTGATGTGGAGGCCGAGACTGGAATCCCAGCAGCCTGACCTTGGCGTCTTCTCAGTTGACCACTCACTGGATTCTGCTGCTTGGGAAATCTGCTCCTGCCCTTCACAATGACCTCTATCCTAATGGGAAAGTACTTTAGTTGCCTCTAATGGAATTTTCTTTTATTTAAACGATTTTATTTTAAAATCATGTCATGCTTATAAAAAGTTGCAAGCCTAATCCAGAGTTTCCATTCTTTTTTTTATATGAGAAACCAGTATTTATTAAACTTTCACTGAAATAAATATGTAATAAGGCTAGATTGCAAATGACAAGTAATATTTATACTTAAGACCTTAAAACTTTAGCTTAATTCACATTTCCTATTTCATATGAATACACAGAAACACCACGTAAAAGAAAGTTTAATGTGTGGTTATCAGATTTTTTTAAAAAACTATTTTATTACAGAAAATATACAAGGCCCTTTCCTTATCAAGAAATGTAGTCTTTCTCTTTTCCGAGAAGATAGACCCACTGCTCTCGGTCTTCTATCGGTGCTTTCCATGCCGATTAAAGTGTTTGTAAAGATATCGGATACGTTTGTTAAGGTTGTGCAAGTCATCAGTGAACATCCGATTCCCAACCATTTTCTTCTTTCTGGCACAACGCTGTAACTCGTTTCCCTTCCAACCTCGAAGCCATTTGGGGCCCTTGATCAATTCCTTGGGGTGCTTTTCAAAGTTACCCAGGATCCCGATGTTGTCATACAGGGCTCTCTTCTCGTTCCAACAATCAATTACTTTAGGGGGTGGGAGGGTGACCCTTACACGGTACAATCCAGAAACGCTCAGAGAGAAGCTTCTACATGCCAAGGGCACACAGGCCTACAAACCCTTGCTTACTCCCTAAAGAAGCTTCTTGCCATTGCTCTCGTCTATCCTACAACAGTGAGCTGCACAAATCTAAAGGTGAGGACCAGACTTGTTCTACAGAGAAAGAATGACGAGAACTGTGAAATCTGGCCTCACAGGAGTCATCTGAGGGACGCCATCTTGCGCCTCTCCAGAGTTTCCATTCTTAGTGACCCACTTTCTCTCATTATGTAATCACGTCATTGTGGAAGGAACGCTGGTGGTGCAATGGCTTAGCACTGCACTGCTAACTGAAAGGTTGATGGTTCAAACCCACTGTGGGAGAAAGATGTGGTCATCTACTACTGTAAGGGTTACAGCTTAAGAAACCCTATGGGGCAGGTCCACTCTGTCCTCCAGGGTCACCCTGAGTCAGAAAGTCCATTTCAACTTGTTAGTTGCTTTCAAGTCCATTTTGACCCATGGCAACACTGAATGTACAGAGTAGGACTGGCCCATCAGGCTTTCAAGGTCATGACCTTTAGGAAGTCCATTTTCCAAGTCACCTCGGGCTGGGTTTGAACTACCAACTTTTCAGTTAGTAGTGGAGAGCGTAACAATTTCCACAACTTAGCTGCCTGACATAATTAGAATCACTAAGACTAAACTCACGGTCCAGTCAATTCCGCTTCACAGTGACCCTCCGTTGAGTTTCTGAGGCTGTGAATCTCTATAGGAGGAAATTGCCCACTTTTCTCCCTTGGAGTAAAGGGAGGATTCACACTACTGACCTTTCGGTCAACAGTCCAGTATGTTGTGTACTACATAACCAGGGCTCCTTACCTCATCATAATACATAAAACCTTTTTTTAAAATATATAAAATCTCAGGGGAGCTCTGGTGGTCTAGTGGCAAGGAGCTGCAACTACAATCCCAGTGGCTCACGGTTCGAATCCACCAGATGCTCTGCTGGGAAAAGGAGGGACAATCTCCTCCTGTACCAGTCAGATCTGATTTGACGGTACACTCACACACACACACACACACACAAAATAAAATCTTAAAACATGTGTTTTTACTCTGGCAGCATCAGAAACAATGGTCAATGTGATTTCCTTCCCTTAGGCTTTGGTGCTTTGAGTCCCCAAATGCAACCATGATTCATGATGATAATAAGTAATAATGCCATTGGAGAGATCTTACCGCGCTTTTATCATGGGCCAGCCACTGTACACCGACTATAACTGACTGTCTCAGCTTAATAGGAGAGAATACAACTGCCTCACAGGGTTCCCTACGCTGTCTCTCTGCCACATTTTTCTTCTTCAGAGTGGCTGATGGCTTTGAACTGCCAACTTCTTGGTCAGCAGCCCAGTCCTTACCCACTGTGCCACCAGAACTCCTTCAACAAGAGCATGATTGTGTAAGATATTATGACTAAAAGAGAGAATTCTGTACTATTTTTACATACATAATTTTATTTCATTCTATTAAAGCAAGCTTGGAAGCAGGAGTGGCATCCCACTTCCAAAATAGCTTGCCTCTGGAAACCCTGTGAACTTGAAGAAACAATGAAAGTTATACAAGTGTTCAGGTCTTTCATTCATAGGGTCACTATGAGTTATCTACAACTTGCCGGCACTTAACAACAACAACAACAACAACAACAACAATAATATTGGTGATAGTTGTCTGTATAAATAAGCAAATAAACTATTAATAGTTAAAAATTATTGAGTACTTTCCATGGAAGCCACTGTGTTTTATATATTGTTGTTGTTATGTGCCAGTGAGTCACCTGCAACTCTGAGCCCTGCCCTATCCAAAACCAGTCTTACTGTCTCCAGTGCACATAATGCACATAATGCCATTGCCCCAGTTACCATGTCAATCCATCTCACCTGGGGTCTTCCTCTCCTGTACTGTCCTTCCACCCTTCCAAGCATAAAGTTCTTTTCCAAGGACGAGTCCCTCCTGGCCACATGCCTAAAGCATGTAAGCTGGAGTTTCAAAATCCTTGCCTCCAAGGAGAAGGTTGGTTTCACCCTCTCCAAGACAGACCTATTTGTTCTGCTGGATGTCAATGGTATGTTCAAGACTCTTCCCCAGCACCACAACTCAAAAGCATCAATTCTTCTTCTGTCATCCTTAGTCATTGTCCAGCTCTCTGATGCATAACAAGTAATTACTAAGACCATGATGCTATCTAATTTAATCTCCCCAACAACCCCGTGATATAAATACCTTTATTAACCTTATTTTGTTGTTGTTGTTGTTATGTGCCTTCGAGTCACTTGCGACTCATAGCAACCCTATGTACAAGAACCCGAAATGCCGCTCTATCCTGTGCCAACCTTGCCATTTCAAACACACTCATTCCCACCACCCCAATCACAGAATCAATCCATCTCATTCCTCTCCTGTGCTGTCCCTCCACTCTCCCAAACATAGATCATAGAACTGATAGACCTTTGTCAACCAGGATGCCTGGAGCTACCTGCAGATCCAATTATGGTCTCTAGATGGCAGGAGAGGGCATAACAATTTATTTTTCCATTTCTATTTGGTCATCATGCAGTGAGGAAACCGCATTATGGCTTTGAAGAGATTGGTTAAGGGTAGGGGCAGATGGAGTGAGGGGAAGTAACAAAGGGAAAGGGTGGATGCAATGCTAAGAGTCCACGGAGCGAGCCTTCTCCTCCAGGATCTCACGTCAGAATGAACGTGGTAAAAGCAGCATCTGCTTATTGGGACTTTACACTGTGTGGCACTTGATGAGGGAGTGTGCTGGTGCCCATGTCCATGAGGGGTTGTACTGCTAATCCAAAGAGTGCTGGTGCCCATGTCCATGAGGGGTTGTACTGCTAATCCAAAGACCACGCCTCTCTGGTGGATCAAATACATCTTCAGCTCCGTGGAGAAAAATGGGCAATCTCCCCCTGTGAAATTTACAGCCTTGAAAATGCAGTAGTGGGCCAGCTATGGGTCGGTTCCAATCCACAGCAACGACTTTGACACTTTATATGCACTAACTCATTTACCATAACGGAATCTTCCCAAGGCACGCATTATTGTATTATTTTGTGGTTACAGATGGTTCTTTAGAGCCTCAGGGTGTCAGTCAGGGAAGAGGTGGAGCTCAGGACAGAGCTGGGGTGCAACCGTGAGGCCTCTGCTCTGCTCTCTGCTCCCCTCCTGCCTCCTCAATGCAGGGGGGTGGAGCCCCAAATCAGACGCATGGCATCTCAGAAATTGTCTCTCATTCTCTCCCTAGAAGTTTAGAATCCCCAAGGGCAGACTTGGCGTGACGAGGATAGGGGACCTGTCCCTGCAGGACATGAAGAAGGTCCCCCCACTGGCCCTCATAGAGCTGACGGCGCTGTGTGACGTGCTCGGCGTGGACCTCAAGCGAGGCAAGGCCAGCAAGCGCAGAGCGACAGGTCAGCAGTGCCTGCACCGTGAGCACATGGTGGCTAGGGTGCTGGCGTTCTCATCGAAGGAGCTACCGGGAAAATCTTTCACCCAAACATCATCTCTTCTTGTTTTAAATTACCTTTGTATTGTGGTTTGAGTCAAAGTTGATAGAGCAAATTGGTTTCCACTTTCAAAAATTCACACCCATTTGATGAACGTCGATTACAATCCCTACATTGCAGCATCACTCGTCCCACTTCTCCCCTGTATGTCGCCTTTCCATTCAGCTTTCTGTCCTATCTTTTGCTGCCCTCTGAGCTTTATGTCAAGGCAAATGCTACCCTTCTGATCTTATATGGTTGATTGTTCTAAGTCCTGAGTGCATTCTACATGATGTTACTGATCACCTATTAGACTGAATATTTGGCTGAAAGTTGAGTCACAGGGGTAATATCTGTTCCTGACTCTGTGGGTGACTAAAAACCATAGTCTCAGGGATTCCAACAGTCTCTATGAGATCAGTGAGTCTTGTCTTTTTAAAATAATGTTTCATTTTGCTCCACATTTCCTGCACACCCCATCAGGGGCCTTCTACTGTGGGGATTAGGGGCATGCGTAAAGGAAAGTGAACACATCAGATCACAAAACGGAAATGACTACGTCATTGCCACCAAGTTATATTCCGACATAACTGTCAAATTATATCATTACATAATGGACAAAGCATTGAGCATTACAGCCCAGGCAAGTCAACATACGGCCCTCACCATCAAAAGTCAGTGTCATCTTGTCTAATACTTCAGTCTTTGTTACTGCTAGACAGATACCGTTAATGGACAAAACAATCAGATAGTAGAGTTGGGGGTTGTTGTTGTTATTTTTTTACTATTGAAACAAAGTGCAGAGTATCAGGTAGCAAGATAGTCCATAAGTGAGGAATTTGTTGTTGTTGTTGTTGTTGTTGCTGTTACGTATGTACTGTGATGGAATCCACTCATAGTCGATCTTCCAGTGGACTTTCAGAAGCAGTAAATCTCCCAGGAGCAGACTGCCCATCTTTCTCCCACAGAGTAGCTAGTGGATTCAAACTGCATGCCTTTGGGTTGGCAGCGCAACTTCTTACCACTAGGCCACCAGCACTCCCTTACATGAGGATTAGGGGTATTCAACAGTTGTATGGGAGTGTTCATCTCACTACATCCTTGTCAACATTGTATATTATGATTTTTTTTTTAAAAAAAAAAGTAACTGGAAACAAGAAGGTGCTGAACAGGTGAAGGGAAAAGGAAGGAGGTTGCAGACAAGATTTATTTTTTTTTAAGAGTTTTCCAAAGAAGCTGAAAAGGCAGGATGGTCGAGAAATCCTAGGAGCTGCATTTTTAGCAACTAGCCTGTCCCTTTAGAAGGAAACACTCTCAGACCGCCATGACGCCCTGTACCCAGCACTCCCTGGGGCAGCAGCCAGCACGTTTCCTTCCCGTTCTCTTTACCTCCTTTTTCTTCTCTCAAACACATCTCACTTTTTTTAATTGTTGAGGCCAAATGTTTTGCTCCAGAGATGCAGAGAAATTTTGGCTCAGTCCCCTCTGGAAAGCCTGGCCCTTTACAAGAAGCAAAATCCGGAGTTCCAAGTACAGTCACCCAGGATTTTGTGGGTTACAGCCCAATTGTGATCTCAGACAATGAAAGGCACCCCTTGTCTCTTGACTTTCTGCAGAAACTCGCCTTTTTGGAGTGCCTCTTGATGCCTTGCTAGAAGCTGACCGCAAAATCCACCCCAGTGCCCAGGTCCCTCTCTTCCTGCAAGCTGTAAGTAGTCCCCAGCTGGGGCTCACAGGAGCCTCTGGAGGGGGTGGGTCTGAGCACCACTGCTGGGAGACTTGTAGCATCCTGCATAGGTCCATGGGCTCTAGGCTCGGGGAACTTGTATTTAAATCCTGGCTCTTACAGTTGCTACTGGAAAGATCTGGGGTGAGTTATTGAATATTTATGAGCGTCTCTTTTAGCATCTATAAAGTGGAAGTAGTAGTAGTAGTAATAATAATAATAATACCCTCCTGGGAAGGGTGAAACCAGGCTGCTCCTTGAAGGCAAGGATTCTGAAGCTTCTCTGATATACTTTGGGCATGTTGCAAGGGGTGATTGGTCCTTGGAGAGGGACATCATGGTCAGAAGAGTGGAGGGAAAGTGCAAGGAAAGAACCTCGATAAAATAGATTGACTCGGTGAATGGGATAACAGGGGTAGGTGCGTGAGAGTTGACAAGGTTGGCACAAGACAGAGCAGGGTTCAGAGCTATTGTACATAGACTTGACGGCACACAGCAACAACAACAACACTAAATCTGTGAGAAAAGGAGACCATCAGGAGATGGACTAGCCCAGTGACCGACAGCAATAATGGGCTTGAGCATGGACTTGAGAGATTGTAACATTAGTACAGGACAGGGTAAGGTTCAGCAAGTGACTGTGGGTTGTACCCGTTATTGGATGTACCAGTTTGAATCGCACCATCCAGTGGCTGCTGGTTAAAGTGTTTTGGGTTTTTCCCCCCCTCCTATAGCTGCTGTCCTGTTTGGAAAAGAGAGGACTGGACACAGAAGGCATCCTCCGGGTTCCGGGATCCCAGGCCAGGATCAAGGTCATGATTTGGCTTCTCTTCCCTCCTGGGGATGCATCTCCTTCCCGCTGAGTGCACTGAGCTGGGAGACAGTGCAGTCTGTGGCTTGTCAACGTTCTGTCTTCAGTCTTGGGGTGGGCTGTGGACTCCCAGAAAGAAGTCCTTAAAAGGCAGGGCTGGCCTCATGGAGCATGGAGGTCGAGGGAGTGCACACTGGGGTCAGACTGGCCAACATTCATTGAGCTCAGCCTTGGCTATGTGTCTACTTCTGGGGCACCACTTGACAGGGGCACGACAGAACAATTTCTGTTAACTTATTGTGCTCCAAAGTCCTTCCTCCCATGAGGTAATCATTCGGAGGTTCAGTGAAGGGAAGGTGGCAGTGTATATAAGTCCCTGGGTCCACCAGACAAGACACAAAATGACATTCAAGGTGCCATGAGTAAGAAAGATGGTGATTATATCATGAGGAGGTGGGGGACAAGGAGAATGTGGTGAGAAGGCATTTCTGCTGAGGCGTTGCCACTATGAATCTATTCATCTTTAAATCGAGGAGAGGGTGCAATTTAGAGATTACCCCTAGAGCGCTGAAACTGGGGGCATAATTTAGAGGCTGTCCCAGGTGCTCTGTACCCCTCCTCTGCCCTTCCTCAGTCCTGTGCTTGGTGATTTCTGCTAGGCCATTTAATCCTCACATCAACCCTGTAAGATAGGTGCTATTATTGTTCCCATTTTACAGATTAAGAAATGGAGGTCCTCTCTAGTAGGGTCACTTATACTAAATCTTGGGCCAGTTTCTCACTGGTGCCCCTCAACCCTTCAGGGCCTGGAACAGAAGCTGGACAGGGACTTCTATGCTGGCTTGTTCTGTTGGGATGAAGTTCATCACAATGACGCATCCGATTTGCTCAAAAGGTTCATCCGGGAGCTCCCGGCACCTCTGCTCACTGCCAAGTACCTGCCAGCCTTCACAGTGATTCCCAGTGAGTGTACTTGAACCCTTGCATCACTTGAGAGTCTGAGGTCATTGGCCTTGGTTGGAGAGGGAAAGTAAGGGAGAGGCATAGTGTGCCGGAGAGAAGACATGGCTCCCACACCACAGCCCTCACTGCAGTCCCTCAGTTTGCTCCTTAGAAGCAAGGATAGTAATACTTTGTCTCACACACTTTGGGCATGTCATCAGGTGGAACCGACCCTTGGGATAAAAAAGACTCCATGCTAGGAAAGGCGGAGGGGTCAGAGGAAGAGAGGAAGACTGTCAATCAGCTGGACTGACACCCAGCTGGACTGACACCTGACTGTAACAATGGGCTCGAGCGTGTCAGATGCCAAGGATAGCGCAGGAGAGGGCAGGGTTCAGCCCTGCCGTTCACAGAGTCGCTGGGAGTCACAGTCAGCGCCAGGCGCATGAGCTCACATGTAGCTGTGTGTCTGTGGGCACATGCGTGTATGTGCACGTCTGTCTGCCTGTATCTGTGCACATCTGCAGACCGGCATGCACCACACAGCCCACTCTCTGTTTCTATTTTACTCATATGTGTTCCCATCTGGACTGCTCAAAACCTACAGGGTACAAACCAAGCTTTGTCCATTTTTTGAAAAAAAATTTTAACTAATCCATTTTCCCCCTTAGGGAATCCCAGTTCTCTCTCTTCCCCCATCCCCTCTGTCTCTGTCTCTTTCTCTTTGTCTCTGTGTGTGTGTGCCTGTCTGTGTCTGTGTCTGTCTTTCTCTTTCTTTCTCTCACACACAATTCTACTGAAAACTGTAGGTTCAGGGAGCTCTGGTGGCCTAGTGGCAAGAAGTTGTGCTGCAGTCCTGAAAGCACGTGGTTCGATTCCATCTGATGCTCCACTGGAGGAAGGGCAATCCTCTTCCTTTGCCAGTTGGATCCGATTTGACAGAACAAAACAAATTAAAAAAAAAAAAAACAAAACCACAACACCAAAAAAACAAAAACAACCCTGTAGGCTCAAGCCAAGGGCCAGGCCCCTGACCACACACTCAGCTTCTCCGTCTCTCAGCCTCTTTCTGAAGCACCACTCAGCACACCGCTCCGGGGCCTCCATGGCATGTTTGTAACACAGAAGCCCTCTCCCCACTCAGAGCCTTCTCTTTGCCCTCATCTCCTGCGCGCTGCCTCGCTGCCGCTGACTGGTCACCCAATTTCGTGTTCCTCTTTCTCCTCCCTCCTTTGGGGCCCCAGCATTGCCGCTCTTTCTGTGTAGAGAGACCCCCACCCCCACCCCCCTGATGGCTCCCACCTCATTTGGCTGCGTTTTGTCATTTAGTTGTCAGCTCAACATCAGCACCCCTTTGGGGTTGTCCCACCTCACATTGGCCCTCCTCCCAGCACTGCTCACCCTCACACTCTGATTGTCCACGTGTGTGCACGTGTGTCTCTGCATGTATATCTCTGCATGCAACTGTGTGTGTATGCACAAGGCGTGTGTGTGTGCATGTGTATACACTTCTGTCTCTATGTGCATACATACATGATTTTATGGGTGTGGGGGGGTGTGTATCACTGTCCACATCAGCACTGCTCAGGGCTCTTTATGAGCTGACTCTAGTCCAGGAAACAGGACTCAGGAGTCTTGACTGTCCTGGACTTTCCACCCTCGGCATGTTCCCTTCCCAAGAAGGGGCCTCTGGACTGAGGGCGTCCTGAGCTTCCCCTGGAGCCTGAGAACTGGTTCTTCCCACAGACATCCCTGACCTGAAGCAGCGCCTGCAGGCCCTTCACCTGCTCATCCTGCTGCTCCCAGAACCCAACAGGAACACCTTGAAGGTAAAAGCTGCCTCCGCCTCCCACCTCAGCCCACCAACCACAATCATGAGCTCACATTCATCCAACGACCCCACCAGGTGCTGGGGGCACAGAGGATCAGCAGAGACTTTACTGTGTTTCCTTCCTTAACAAACCACTTAAGTCCTTTAAGTCGGCACTGCAAAGCATCCGCCCCAAGTGATCCTAACAGATGTTGCTGGGAGGGCAGTTCTGTGTCCAGATGAACTAGACAAGCACTAGGTCAACGAGACCAAGTCAGGGGCAGTGTTTCTTGCAGGGCGTCTCAGAGCCTTTAATATGCTAAGGTTTTGTGAATTTCTGAGTAGAATTAGCATATACAATGCTTCCCAACTTTCCTTACTTGGACATATTGTAAGGTGAGACCAGTCTTTGGAGAGGGACGTCATGCTTGGGAGGGTGGAGGGACAGTGCAGGAGAGGAAGACCCTCTATGAGGTGGATTGATTCAATGACTGGGGTAACGGGAGTGGGTGTGTTGGAGACAGTGAGAATAGCTCAGGAGAGAGCAGGGTTGAGGGCTATTGTACGCAAGGTTGCTATGAGTCGCAGGCGACTTGACGACACATAACAACGACACATCCCCAATTTCTCTGATATGGGCCACTTTTGTTGTGAACTGTACTACATGGCACTGGGGTTCTGTGGAAGACCCATCTGAGAAACATTCAAACATTCCCTCAGAGAAATTCCACTGTGTGCTCTCAAGGTGAGTGCTGTGGGCTGAGGGTGGGGCTTTACCTTGACTAAATCCCTGTATACCTTTCTGGGTGGTCTGGGGGCCAGACTCAAGATGTCCTTCCACGGTGGAGTTGTGAGAGGGCCTGATGTCCACTCGGATCCTTGTCTCATGTGGATGTGGAAGGCCACCAGGAGATCTCTGTCACCGCACAGAGCGAGGTTCATGCATTTCCACCTCTTGTGTCTCAACATGGACTGAAGCAAAACCCCCTTTGTGTTTCTGCCTCCTTTCCAGGAAGCTAAGGATTATATCACATTTTGTATGGTGGTTTTGGTATTTACAAGAGCTTCTTAAAGCGCTCTGGCGACCTAGTGTAGGGAGCTCACTGCTGACCCAAAGATGGTGTCCGTGTGGTGGCTTGAATCCACCAGCAGTTCTTTGAAGGAAAGACGGGGCAGTCTTCTCCTGAGCAACTTCCAGCTTTGGGAGATTTACTGGAGGGTTAGCTACGAGTCGGTTCCAACTCCACGGCAATGAGTTTGAGTTGAGAACACTTGAAAAATCCTTGTATACTTGTGGGACTTAGCAGGTCCCAATAGCGCACTTCCATCCATCCGTGTTTCCTTCCATCCATCTGTTCACTCTTCCTTCTCTCTGCCCATCCTTTCGTCATCTGTCACCATTTTTGTCCCTTTCCTTCCACGCATTCTTCACCTCTCCTTCTCACCTCTCCTTAGTGGCCACATGGCCTTGGGCATATTCTCTAAGCCTCTGTTTCCGTCTCTGTAAAATGGGTGCAATAACAGAACCTACCTTAGGAGGCTATCATTACGATTACATATGATAAATGCAGGCAGGGTTCTAGTGTCAGCGCGAGGAGACAGGGGTTCTTTCATACCTGGTAGTTATTAGGGTCCTCTTCCCCTTTTCTTCCCATCCTCCTTACGCCCCACTTCTTTTCTTTATGGCCACATCCAGGCAGTAGAAAGTGGGAGCTGACAGCCTTAAGACTCCCCAGGAAAAGGCCCATTTTACAGACCATGGCTTTTCTGTCTGGAGCTGAGAGTGAACCCTAATGCATCATGGAGGCTTTAATCTTTATTGGAGCAACCAGGGCAAAGGTCCCGGGCACATTTTACAGAAGAAGAGACTTAAGATACAGAGAGGTTAGGATGGGCCAGCGTCAAAACCAGGATGAAAACTCCAATCCCTGCCTTCCCGGCTCCAGTTCCTCCTGTGCACCCCAAATTGCACACCAGCGTGTCCCAGGACAGGTCGGGGAGCAGTGGAGACAGGCTGTGACTCCAGGGCTGTTCTGTGCTCTCTCTCTCTCCCAGGCACTCCTGGAGTTCCTCAGGGAGGTGGTGGCCCGGGAACAGAGCAACAAGATGACGCTGTGGAACGTGTCCACGGTGATGGCCCCCAATCTCTTCCTGCACCAGGGGCGGCCCCCCAAACTCGCCAAGGGCAAGGAGAAGCAGCTGGCTGAGGGGGCCGCTGAGGTGGTGCAGATGATGGTGCATTATCAGGACCTGCTGTGGACGGTGGGTACAGCTGGTGCTGCGAAAGGCAGGGAGTACCATGTGGGTGACATGGGCTGGCCCACCCTCCTCCAGGAGTGTCTGTCCTGCCACCCTCGTGTCCAGGAGCGGCTGTCCTGCCATCCTTATGTCCAGGAGCAGCACGCACTGTTCTTCTGACCTCCTACTTGTTGTGTCTGTTCCTGGACCCTCTTGGACCCCACATCTGGGCCACTATCTCCTTTCTTTCCCTGCCTTAAGTCTGAGATGTGTCTACACTCGCTGTTTCCACCTCCACACCTCTCAGTCACTCCTTAGCCCACTCATGTCCCAGGTAATGATGGTTCCTACGCGCCTGGAAGGAATTCCTGAACATCAGAGATTTACTGGTGTGCTGAGACAGCTCACCCCTGAGGCTCAGGAACACAGAGATTGCCAGGGAGACAGCAGCAGGAGCCAGGAGACACCCCCAACCCCTCACCCCAATCCTTGTTTTCAAGTAACAAGCCACAGCAGGGGTGAAGGGCGAGAGCAGGGAGAGACCCTCTTTCAGCCAGGCCTACTGAAAGGTGCAGGTGGTCTTCTCAGGGGGAGCGTTTGAGACCCTCAGAACCCAGCATTGCAGAGACGTAAGCTGTGATGAGGATTGTAGGAACTGCCAGCTGCTTTGTGGTAAGAGAGTCTGTGCCACCAGCAAGCCTTGCATCTCTGTGGTGCCAAGTAGCTGGTAAACCCAGTGGGTCGGAATGTTGTTGTTTTTTTATTATAGAGACTGTTTTGGAAAATTCAAGACAATCCTAAATGCTTTCTCATTGATAAAGTTCCAGACAGACAGCAAAGCCAAAGACCCAAGGTCACTGCTGTCACGTCCTTCCAGCTCCTGACAACCCCACGTTACAAAGTAGAACCACTTTACAGGGCTTTCCCGACAGCACTCTGTATGAAAACAGATTTCCAGGCCTTTCTTCCTCACTGCTAGGTGGGTTTGACAGGAAACTCTGGTGGCTTAGTGCCACAGAGTTGCACTGCCAACCTGAAGATAATGCAGTTCGAATCCACCATCTGCTCTCAAGGAGAAAGATGGACAATCTCCCCCTGTGGGATTTATTGCCTCTGAAAGCCAGCTGGATGGTCAGTTCTGGGTCAGTTCTGACTCCACAGTACACAATAACAGGGTTTGAACTACCAACCTTTAGATTAAAGGCCAAATGTAAACCATCTGTGTTAAATTTCCCCTCGCCTCTCTCCCAAGGCCTTCCACACATTTCGTGTTATTCAGGCATTTCACAGCCAGTAAAGCCAGGAGCTGAGCAGCCAATACAGCTCTCTCTGCTTTGGTTTCCAGGGTCCACGGACCCCGGCTCTGTCTGCTGGTTCTGAGAGGGGTGGGATCTGGGCAGGCCTGGTGGATTCTCCTGGGAAGGACTGGCTGGGGGTTCTCAGAACTGAGAAGTGTGGCTTTGGGGAACTCCTTGCTGGGGGGCCTCCAGCCTTCTGTGGGAGACCTCTGCCCACTAAGCCTCAGGACCCTCAACCCAATGGCCCTCTTCAGGGGCCAAAAGCCCTCTCTCCTCCCCCAGCAGACAGAATGCTCCAGTCTCATGTTACACAAATATGAATGGCCCAGCCCTGAAAGAGATACCAGGCCAGGGAAGAGGGACCCTGTCCCCCACCCCCAGTGGCCAGCCCACACTCCCCTTTCTTAAGGTTTGGTTTTGTTTGTCCAGGTCGCTTCCTTCTTGGTCGTCCAGGTGCGCAAACTGAATGACAGCAGCAGCCGGCGCTCCCAGCTCTGCGACAGGGGCCTCAAGACCTGGCTGCGGAGGATGCACGTGGACCGCGACAAGGCGGAGGAGGGGTCGGGGCCGGTGAGTGTCCCCTGGGCGCAGAAGGAGAAAGGGCTGGGGAGCTCCTCTCGGCTAGACAGGCGCTGCCGCTGCGGGACAGCAGGGGGCGCGCGCGTCCCACCGCATTGGGACTGGAGCGAGAGCCAGGGCCCTTCCTTCTGTCTTCATGGCCCCTGTCCTTCTGTTAGGGACCCCAGTGTGTGCCTGGCCCCCCTCAGAGACAGAGTAGGGGTAGCACTGTGGGACTGAAAGACCTTCCAAGAATACTCAGTGCTGCTGAATGGAGTCTTGAACAAAGCTCCTTATTAAACTGCAAACCAACCACCTAGACATCATTCTGCCTTGTGTGACCCCATGGGTGTCTGGATACAGTGGTGCTCCATTGGGTTTGAAAAGGACTGATCTTTTGGGTGGGTTATACTTTTAAAAAATTATCTTACTTTATTATTTTGTGTGTGTACCATCAAATCAGATCTGACTGGTACAGGAAGAGATTGCCCCTCCTTCTCCAGCAGAGCATCTGGTGGATTCAAACCGGGTGTCTCTGGGATTGCAGTGCAACTTCTTGCCACTAGGCCACCAGAGCTCCCTTTGGAATCAGACTGCCGGGCCTCTAGCTGGACACAAACCTGGGAGCACTCATCATATATACCAGCCTGTGACTCAAAGTCCAACAACAGCAAAAAAAAATAAACCCACTTCGAGTTTACCTTCTGGTTGATTCCAACTCGCAGTAACTCCATTGGGTGTGTGAGGCTGTAAATGTTAATGTGAGAAGGACACAGCCTCCTCTCTCCTCTACAGAGTGGCTGGAGGGTTCCCTCCTACGGCCAAGCTTTGTGTTTGCAGCCAAATACTGCTACACAGACATCATCAGGGAGCCTGTTAAAGCCCGAATGTAGAAACTGGCCAATGGTGTGCTTGCACTGTGTCCAATGGGTAGGGTCGATGAGCACTTAATAAGTTACGTGTTTGCAGGTGCATTGAACACACGTCCACTATAAGCGTGAATATGAACGCGTGTACACGTATTTGTTTCTATGCCTGTGTTCTTTTTTGTTTTATATTTATTTTTTATTAATTTTAAGGGGAGCTCTGGTGGCCTCGTGGCAAGGAATTGCAACTATAATCCCAGAGGCAAATGGTTCGAATCCACCAGATGCTCTGCCAGGGAAGGAGGGACAATCTCCTCCTGTACCAGTCAGATCTGATTTGACGGTACACACACAAAAAAATAATAAAATTTTTTTAAAAATTAAATTAATTTTAATGAAAGTTTACAGAGACTTTGGATTTCCATTCATTCATTGTTGCACTTTTCTCCCTGCCCACCACCAGTTGGCTCTTCTTTTTGAAAAGTAAAAGAAAAATTCTTTCATCGTTATACAATCCCTGCCTCCAAGTCCACTCCACTATGCAGCCTTCATTCTGGACTCCTGTCATGACAATAATACCTAATCACATATCCCTTTTAAACAGTTCTCTCTCACACTCATCTGTTTCAATGCAGTATACATAATTTATCCCATCTTTCTCAGTCTCCCCCCAACCCCAATGTCAGTCCCATCTTGTAACAGTGGCACTAAGCAGCATTTGTTCTTTTGTGACTGGTATATTTCACTCAGCGTAATGTCCTCCATAGTCACCCATTTTGAATAATATTTCATGAGTTGCTTGTTTTTCAGTGCAGCGTAGTATTCCATTGTGTGAATATACCAGAGCTTCTCTATGCATTCGTTTGTTGATGGGCACTTAGGTTGTTTCCAACTCTTTGCTATTGTGAACAAAGCCATGATAAGCATGGGTGTGCATTATGCCTCTATTCTTGTGTGCACATGCCGGGGCATCTGTACGTTTGTAGATGTGATCTGATCTGTGCACAAGAGTTTGCCATGCTTGTATCCATGTGCCTCTTATGATCTGGAGGGTGTAAGCATATATGTGTGTGTCTGCATCCACACATTTGCATTCCAGGCATGCACATGTATGCCTGCGTATCTGGATCTTTCTCTCAGCAGACTCCCAAGGTGGTGAAGATCCAGGTGGCCCGGCCAGCCAAGGGCCCCGTGGAAGTCCTCCTGACCCCCAGCACTACGGTGGCCCATGTGCTGAGGCAGTTCTCAGAACATGGTCGCCATGGGCCGCAGAGCGGAGAGGCCAGGACGGAGACCCACAACCCCCTTCTGTGGTAAGCCCCCTCCACAAGACTGCAGGGACGGGCGGCCAAGAGGAGAGAGAACCTTTGACCTGAAGGCCATCATGAGTCTCTTTCTGGGATGGCTAGAAATGGGTGTTCCAACATTCTTGGGGAGCTTCTGGGATCTGAATAATCATGATTGTTGTGTGTTGTCGATTCAGAACTGACTCATAGGTGACCCGCCAGCTGGTTTTCAGAGGCGATAATCACACCGAAGAAGATTGCCCATCCTTCTCTCACAGAACAGCTAGTGGATTTGACCGTGTGAGTGCAACTCCTTACCACTAGGCCACCAATTGTTGTTGTTGTTGTTATAGGTGTTGTCAAGTAAAACTCCCAGTGACCCTATGAACAATCGACTTGAAACCTGCCCTTGTCTCTGCTCTTTGATAAACATGATAGTAGACACTATTCACTCACTCAGCACTTATTTAGTGAGCATCTACTTTATGCCATAGAGGGCACTGGTGGTCTACTAGTAAGAAGCTGTGCTGCAATCCCAAAAGCACCCGGTTCAAATCCACCAGCTTCTCTGTGGGAGAAGGACAGGCAATCTCCTCCCACGCAATTCACTGCCTCTGAAAACCTGCTGGAGAAGCCACAACAACAACAATGCCAGCGAAAATGCCAGGGAAAAGCTTGCTCGGAGCCACGCAGAGAACTGGGGCAGATCCTGGAACTGGACTCAGAAGATGAGCAAGTATCTTACACTATAGAGAGAGAGCCAGACGGTTGTGGTTAGATGGCATTAAGTTGGTTCTGACTCCTGGTGACCCTGTGTACACTAGAACAAACCGCTACCTGGTCCTGCACCACCCTCACGGTCATTGCCATGTCTGAGCCCATTGTCAAAGCTTTGTGTCAATCCATGCCATCAAGGGTCTGGCCCCTTCCCACGGACTCTCTACCTTGTCCTGTATAATGTTTTTCTCCAGGGCCAGGTCCCTCCTAATAATGTGTCCAAAGTCTTGCCGTCCTCCCATTTAAGGAGCATTCTGACTGCATTTCTTGTAAGACAGATGTGTTCCCTCATCTGGCAGGCCGTGATACATTTGGTATCCATAACCAATACCATAATCCAAGAGCAACAATTCTTCCGCTTTCCTTATTCACCAGGTGTCATATGTTCATGAGTCAGTTTAAAAGATTATGGCTTGAGTCAGGCGCACCTTAGTTCTCAAGGTGACATCCCTGCTCTTTAGCACTTGAAAAAGATCCTTTGCAGCAGACTTGTCCAAGGAAACACGTAGTTTGATTTCTTTGTGACTGTTACTTCCATGGGCATTGATGATAGATTCAAGTAAAATGAAATCCAGGAGAATTGGGAATCTTTTCTCCATTAATCATGATGTCATTTATTGACCCAGTTCTGAGAACCTTTCTTTTCTTTGTGTTGAAGTGCGATTGATATTGAAGGCTGTAGTCTTTGATCTTCACTATTGAGCATTTCCCCTACTCGTCTGCCATTTTGCCTGACTGTGGTGCCGTACATGTTTCTGTGAATGCTGGAAGCTGTGCACCACTATGTCAGATGCCAGCAGTGTAGCCCCTGGTGGGTGGGTTTCAATGGAGCCTCCAGAAATAAGACTAGGAAGAAAGACCTGGTAAACCAGTTGCAAACCTGGCCAGTGAAAACCTCCATAGTCACAAAGCCGTAAACTATCCAGACTCAGTATCTGCCTCTCAGTGCAAATTCCTATTCTTCCATATGTCCACCTTCACAATCTCCAGTCCCAGTGCCCAACAGGAGGGGCCTTGTGGCCACTGACACATACCCTCCAGCTGTCCCTTCCCTGTTCCTGGGCACTTGGCTCTCTCAGGCACATCCTTGTATCTCTTCTCCTGCCTGGGACCAAAGGGACCAAAGCCCAGGGAGGCTCATCCCTCCACGCCTGAGGTCTGTGAGCAGTTCTTGGTCCTGCTGCCTTCAAATGTGGCAAGAAGCCATCACTTTTCTTCTCTTGCAGCTACAGGCCCAAGGAGTCAGCTGACATCCTCCTCTACGAAGTTGGAGGGAATATCAGTAAGCATTCTGTGGGAATTGGGTGGGTCCGGCACGGGGTTCGAGCATGTAAGAGGGGACGAGGAGGGCCCAGGTGGGGACGGGCTCAGATCAGGTGCTCATAAGATCCCTTGGAGTCATATTGGATTGACTCCATGTAATAACAACAACAGGTCCCTGGGAGCTCTCCACCTCGTGGGTGCACTGGGTCCCTCTAGGGAGGGGGGAAGCTCATTTCAGATGAACCTTCCCCAAGGCCTCTGTTTCCAATGGAGGTTACAGGTCAGCCTGTGCCAGGCCTCCGGAGTCCCTCCCAGAGTTTGGAGTTTTTTCTGGAGGTGGCCTCAGGCTTAAAGAGAGGGTGTGTGTGTGTGAGAGAGAGAGAGAGAGAGAAAGAGGGAGAGAGAGAGAGAGAAGCTCTGGTGTCCTAGTGGTAAGAAGCTGCAACCCAAAGGCGATTCAAATCCACCAGCTGCTCCATGGGAGAAGAACGGGCATTTTCCTGTGCAATTTACCATTTTCCTCTGAAAACTCGCTTGGAGGGTCAGCTATGGGTCGGTTCCGACTCGACGGCACACAACAATTATATATAGGAGGGGAGTGAGTGAGTGAGAGTGTGTGGGGGGTGAAGGATTACAGTGTTACCAATTAACTTGAGGTAGACCTTCTTCCTGGCCAGGAATTCCTAAGAATTTAGCACACACATAGCTGGCTCTGAGAAGCCCCTGGCACTGTGGGAACCAAGGACAGGCAGCTATTTTGAGTTGAGCTCCCCAGAGCGCTGGTCCCCACTTGGCCTGGCATCAGCGTCACTCAGCTTGGTAAACTCCAGATTGCGGGGTCACGCCCCCCAGGCTTCTAGGACCCAGGAGTCTGTACTGCTAACAGATTCTCAAGTGATGCTGGTGTTGCTGGTCAGAAACCAATAGCCAAGAAGCAGAGGCTAGACAGGGCTGTGGGGGTGCACGGTGCATAGTAGGGGTGCTCATCACAAAAGGCCATAGGGAAGGAAGGAGGAAGGATGGGAGGAGGAGGGGAGCCTGAATGTGGTGCCAAGAGAAGTCTAGCTCTGGCCTGAACCACCAGGTGGCGTTGCCAACAAGAACTGCATCCGAGCTGTTCCCTGTGAGGCCTGAGGGTTCCCACCTCTGCACCAGTCAGTCCAGACTCCAGCTCTGGGGAGGGCCATGGCATCCCAGACAAAACATATTTTTTCTTTCAGGGGAGGTCAATTCTGCAGAGAATAGGATAGCTGTGGGCCAGTAGAAGCTTACACAGCTGGGGTAACAGGTGCACAGGCTAGATGAGGGCCTCTTTCGGCGTCTTCCACCTTCAATCTCCTTTGCCCCTTCTTCCCACAGATGAGCATCGCCTGGACCCGGATGCCTACCTCTTAGATCTGTACCGTGCCAACCCCCTCGGCGAGTGGGTCATTAGACAGAGTCCCACCTAAGGCTGGGATTCTAGGGAGCTGTCCTGAGTGCTGAATCTCCCTTCCCCAAACCAAAGGCAGAGAACAGATGACCTTGGACGTCTGGGGCCTCAACAAGGTTTCCTGGGCCTCTGGAAGTGCCTGGAACCACCCTGGGAGGCTGGAGTCATGGAGAGGTCAATTCCGTGTGAGTTCCAGGTTGGAACAGAAAGGAGTTGGCCAGGAAGCCCTCAGTAGCCCGCCCAGCATGAGAGCAAAGCTGTTTGAGAAGGACTGAGACTTCCAGGGTCTCCTTGCTAGACTCCCTCTCAGACCCCTCAAGATGGGAGACAGGGCCGGCTCCTCCCTTCACTCCCAGGCACACAAAGCCCCACGGTCCTCCCCTCCACCAAGTGGCATGCCTTTGCATCCCCATGGACTTCTGTCCACTATTTCCAGTCCCACAGACAACTTGAGAAGGCAGCATCTCACTCCAGGGAAGATGGCTTCCTCAGGAAAAACACTGCTTTGAACGTGGCTACCTTGTTCACATCAACAGAGAGGAACCAGGAAAGCTTGGGAACCTTGGGCGAGGCCCTTCCCCTCTTGGGGCCTTGGGGAGAGAAGCAAATATTGTCACTGTGAACAGTGGGAAGAAGAAAATTCCTCACACCTTTTATGTTTTACATTTTGCTTTGTACGCTGGTCATTTTTTCACATATTTAAATTCCATTTGGACTTTCAAGGTTAAAACAAGTCTAATATCGCTACTTGCCCTTTCACCTTTGTTTTCTTCCCAGTCTGGCTGCCAGTGGTGAGTCCTTCCAGCAGTTCACATGGAACTGTAGGGATGAGTAAGCTTCTGAAGCTTCTCCACAGCCTTCAGCCAATGATCAGGCCTCACCTACTGAACATTTCAATTCAATGTCAAATTCCATTTTAGTGTGAACTTTCCTGCTGGGGAGTCTCCAGAAGGATCCCATCTCCCTTAAAACAACATCCCAGCTCCGTACCCTGGCCTCTGAGACCTAATGAATGTTTCTGATATCACCTCCTCCACACTCCCCCACTTTGTAGCTCCAGCCCCTCCTGCCTCCTGACTCCTTGAGCATATGAGGTTCACCCCTGCTTTGGGGTGTTTGTACTTATTGTTCTCTCTGCCTGCAGCCCCCTTTCTCCAACTTCTCCCACCTCCGGCCTTGTTCTCACGGTTCTGACCTCACCTCAGATGGCTTTTCTCCGACCTCTTCATTTGTGCTTGCTTCCCACGGCCCTGATCCTCTTAACTTCTTAGAGTTTATTGTTACTTGAAATGATCTTATTGTATTAGTGTCACGCCATCTGACTACTTGATGAAGAGGCAGCCCGATGGGGTTTTGATAGGGTTTTGCTCACCTTATGGTGGCAAGAAGCTGTGCTGCAATCCTGAAGGCATGCAGTTCAAATCCACCAGCTGCTCCGTGGGAGAAGGATGGACAATCTCTGCCCCTATGATTAGCTGCCTCTGAAAACCGGCCAGAGGGTCAGCTGTGGGTCAGTTCTGACTCAATGGTACTCAACAACAACAATGTGGATATTATGGTACATGGAAAACTCTGCTGGGTGGATTAATGAATAAATGAATAAATGAATGCCCTTCTTCCTCAAGTCATACAATGGTTATGTGCTCAGATAAGCAAAAGTTTGCTGGTTTAAGCCCACCAGCTGCTCTATGGGAGGACGATGTTTTGCACAGAAACAGCCTCAGGGATCCTGTGCGGCACTTCTTCACTGTTCTATGAGTTCAGCTCAGGTGAAGAGAGCAGGGCTGCTGGGAGTCCGGGAGCTCTAGTGGCCTAAAGATAAAAAGCTACATTGAATCCCAAAGGTACATGGTTCAAATCCACAAGCTGCTCAATTGGTGAAGGCTGGGCAGTCTCCTCCCATGCTGAAAGGGTCAGCTATGAGTCGGCTGTGACTTGACGGCACACAACACCACCACGAGTCAGCTGGTCTCACTGGCAACTGGCTACCTCTTTGTTTATATTCTCTCTAAAGGTTGTTCTTGCTGTCTGATTTAACTCTGACCTCTCTGGCTTAATATGTGAAAATGAGAAAAGGCACTGGAAGTGTTAGATAGCAGGTGCTCAGGCACAGCTCTCATTATTATTATTATTATTATTATTATTATTATTATTATTATTAATTGAACAGAAAGTCTGAAATGGTGGCTGATACTATGCTCTCCTCCACAGCTCTGGGCACATCCCCTGGCTCGTCTCATTCATGAACAGGACGAGATGACAGTTGGAGGGAAACTTTTCTAACTTGGGTGGGAGAATGGGCAGGTGTCTCTGGGCTGGGGCCCAGGCCTGGTTGTCCTAACTTTACTGTGAGAACAGGCGGCTGGCATCCTTGGAGGCTCCCACTTTAATCACGTGTCAGTTTGCCCATTCATCTTCGATGCTATCTCTGGATGCATCTTTTCCCTCCCTGTGGCATCCAGCAGAGTGATTGATGAGCCTGCACCAGCCCCACCACTGGCTTAGCATAGCGCACAGTGCGCGGCCTCTCCAGGCTCTGTGCAGTCTGAGGATAACTAGGCCCGAGGCTATGTTTTGGTAAGGAGCCCCTGGCAGCTGCCAGATTTGAAAGGAAGGGCATTTAGGGTTTGTAAAGATAGCCTGAGATAGGAGTATTCCTTTGGATAAAGCCCAGCAGAGGGCTCTCACCTGGCATTCAGGTGTGTAATTCTGTGGAAGAAGCAGCTTTTAATATCACGCACACTGGGCTGCGGACAGGCCCTAAGCTTCTCTGTGCATTACAGGCAACTTGCCCAACCTCTCTGTGCTCCTGGAAATTTAGTTTGCTCTTTGTAAATCACAAAAGGATGGCTAGGATGAAATGCAGGCAGCCCAGGTGACTCAACAATTACATTAAGTTCCTATTGGCAAAGAGCATTGAGTATACAATTACCTGTTAAAAGAACAAACTCATGTGAGTTGGAAATGGTACACCCAGAGTGCTCCGTAGAGGCAAGCATGGTAAGGCTTTGTCTTACATACCTTGGGCTTGTTGTCAGAAGGGACCTAGTCCCTGCAAAAGGAGATCATACTTGGAAAGGTATGATCAGAAGTTCAGAGACGGAGAAGGAGACCCTCCACAATATAGACTGAGACAGTGACTGCAACAGTGGGCTGGAGGATGGGTTGTGAGGATGACACAGGGTAGGGGAGGTTTCAATCTCCTGTGCTTCGGATTTCTGTGAGTCACAGCAGACTCAATGGTACCTGACATCAATAACAACCACAGTTATGTCTTGGAGCGAGTGCAGCCGAGTGCTCCCTGGAGGCAAGGATGGCAAAGCTTCTTCTCTCATACTTTGGACATGTTGCTGGGAGAGGCTATTCCTTGGCGAGGAACCTCACGCTTGGAAAGGTGGAGGGTCAGCGAAAGAGAGGAAGACCCTCAACAAGATACTTAAGTCATACTCAACTTGAGGGCACCTAACAACAGGAGTCCTGGTGGTGCAGTGGTTAAGTGTTGACTGCTAGCTGTAAGATGGGCTCCACCAGTGGTTCCTCCCAGGAGAAAAGCCCTGGTGATCCATTCCCCTAAATATGTATAGCATTGAGACACTGGGGGGCAGTTGTCCTCTGTCATACACCAAGAGGCAGAATCAACTCAAGGGCACAAACAACAATGTGTTAGATGAAGGGCCCAGGGTGGCACAAGCAGTTAAACATTCAGCCAATAGCCATAACGGTGGCGGTTTGAACCCACCCCCAGACAGAGGGCTGGTGATCTATTTCTCCTAGTCGATGGGATCCCCTAATTAACAACAACGATATATGTCAGACCCTGGGCCAGACTGCATCAGAGCTGTGAGCAACACAGAGAACATGTCAGTGAGTTCCTCAGGGAACCTGTAGACTGTGAAGAGAAAGCCTGACTTACTCAGAGATAATGTGATTTCAGATGGTGGTGCAAGTCGGCTGGGAAAATAAAACCTAGAGAGCACAGAAAGAGAGAGGACGTGGGGTGGGGAAGTGGGCCTTTGTCTTGTGTGGCCAAGGGAGGGTCCTAGATAGAAAGCCCCCAAAGCAGACCTTGAGCCCAGAATTAGAGGGAAGGCATTTTATTTGGAGGAGATACAGAAGAGACCAATAAAAGTGTGGGTGTGGGAGATGAGAAAGGGGAGAAACGAATAATGTGTTAGTAGACTGGAGGGTCCCTGAGTGATTAGTCCTTGAGTGGTTAACAAGATCACAGAGGTTCAAATCCACCCACAGTCCCCATGGAAGGCGGCGTGGTGATCAACTTCTGCCAGGCCTTTAAAACTCTCCGCCACTGAAAATGCAATGAAACACAGTTCTGTCCTGACGGGGTTGCCATGAATTGAAATCAACTTGAAGGCAGCTTGCTTGTTTAATAAGCAGCCCCTAAATGTCCCTGCACGGGACCACCTGGTCTAGCTTTATATCTCTGAGAAGCCTCTGCCACCTTGAAATCAGAAGGAACCTCCCTCCACCTCTTTTTTCCCCCCTCCTCCACCTGCCCCCCCCCTTGTGTCCTCACCTGCCCTTTGCTCTTTGGTAGCTGAACAGCAGAATGAGGGGGACTATTCCTCAGGTTGCCACTGGAGGCAGCACAAGCTCTACCTTCGGCGAAGGTGGGACGGAGCTGCCTGGGACCAGGCAAGTGACTCTGCACCACTGCCTCTCCCCGACACATCCAAGGCTCCATCCACCCTGCCTGGCCCTCACACATAAAGGTCACAGGACACATCCAACCAGGGTATGGGTGGAGCTGTGAAGGCTTCATCCGCAGACATGGAGGTCCCTGGTCTTGGTTTTTCAGGTCAAACAGAGACGAGGTGAATGTCGCTGGGATGCTTCCAAGTCCCAGGCATCAAGACTGGGATGGTCCAGGAAGGGAGAATGATTCCTGTCACATCCATCCATCCATCCATCCATCCATCCATCCATCTGTCCCCGTGCCCTTCCCCACACTGCAGACAGGGCAGGGGACCCTCTTTACAGACACACGTGTACACACACACA